CACCTAGCTGAGCTCAATAGGCAGGCTAGCCCAGTGGTAAGAGCAGGGGGTTTGGTGCCTGATCACCTAGGTTCAAATCCTAGATCCCACACTTATTAGCTGTGGGAACTTCCACAGCCACATAACTAGTGAAAGCTGCAATTCCTTCCTTAGACAATGGGGATGTTGGCAGAGCTGCCAATAAAGAGCAGGTGGGGGAGATTAATGGAGCAATAGCACTGAGGTGCTGAGTAAGGCACCTGGCACAGAACATGCCTGTGGGCCCATTATTCCACCTCCTGGAATGCCCCCCACCCTAATTACTAGCTGAGGACACCGGGACCTCCTTCCTGGTTTGGTATTTGTTCTCTTTTAGCGCATTCACCATTCTTAGCTTCCTCCTTTTGGCTTTTTGCCTCTCCAGTGAGAGGTGAGATCTGGTCCTGTCTGCTTACACATTCCTCTGCGTGAGACATGTGTATACAGCAGGCATCTAGTGAATGTTCACTGGGTCACAAATGGCTGCATCTGACTGGGCTAATTCTCACTGTGGGACAATTTCATGAGATCTTCCAAGGCCAGGCTACATCCTCTGAGATTTCCCTGGGATGAGGGCGGGTGGAGGAGGAGTGTGGCAGCCAGGTGCCCTGCACCCCTGCACACTCCGCCTGGGAGCCACAGGCCTCCTGCCCACAGCCTCCCAGGGCTCCTCCAGTGTGTGGGTGGCTCTCACCCAGGGGATGGCTCAGAAATAGGAGGAGGCAGAGGCTATGCTTTCTGCCCCAAAGCATATCCAAGGGGGAAGGGGGCTTTTTCAGCCATGTGGTTTTAGTCGTTGTTGTTTTGTGTGACAGCTTTACTGAGGAATATTTTATAAATCAAAAACATTCACCTATTTGTGTGCAATTCAGTGATTTTTAGTAACCTTCCTGAGGGTGCAACCATCAGCATAAATCAGTTCTGGAACATTTTCATACCCCAGTAAAGATCTCTCATGTCTGCTTATAGTTAATCCTCATTCCCATCCCAGCATCAGGCAACCACGAATATACTTTCTTATCACTGTAAATTTGCCTTTTCTGGACATTTCATACAAGCGGCATCATACAATATGTGGTCTCTTGTATCTGGCTTCTTTCACTTAGCATAAAAGAGCCTCATTCAGGTTGTAGTGCAATTCAGTAGTTCTTTCTTTTCTATTGCTGAATAATTTTCCCTTGTGGATGTACCATATTTTGACCAGTTATTGGACATTTAGGTTGTTTCCAATTTTTTACTATTATGAATAATGCTGCTACGAATATTCATGCCAAGTCTTTATGTGGACATAAGTTTTTATTTCTCTTGCATCTATGCCTGGAAGTGCAATTGCAGGGTCATGTGGTAACTCCATGTTTAACATGTTGAGAAACTGCCAACCTGTTTTACAAAGTGGCTGTGTCATTTTATATACTCAGCAAGGTATGAGGGCTCCCATTTCTCCATATCCTTGCCAACATGTGTTATTGTCTGTTTTACATGTTATAACTATTCCAGTGGGTGTGAAATGATATTTTATTGCATTTTTCTAATTAATGATATTAAACATCTTTTCATGTGCTTATTAGCCACTCACGTATCTTCCTTGGCAAAATGTCTGCTCATAGGATTTACTCATTAAGTATTTGACTCTTCTTGATGTTACTGTATCTAGAATTATGTTTTTAATTTCATTTTTAGGTTGTTCCATATTTGTATGCAAAAATATGATAGGTTTTTATATGTTGATCTGGTATCTTGTGACTTGGCTATACTTGTTTATTAGTTCTAATAGTACTAATATTAGTGGATTCCTTAGCATTTTCTAATAGAGGATCATGTCGTCTGCAAATAAAGGCAGTTTTACTTCTTCCTTTTCAATGTGGGTGTCTTTTATTTCTTTTTCTTCCTTTATTGGCTTGATTAGAACCTCTAGTATTATGCTGAATAGAAGAGGGATACAGTGGACACCCTTACATTACTCCTAATCTTAGGGGGAAAACATTCAGTCTTTTACCAGTTTAGTATGATGTTCACTGTGTAGGTTTTTCGTAGATGGCTTTTATCAGGCAACCAGGAGAGCAAATCTGATTCAGCCTCCTCTTCCCTAACTGTGTGGATTCTTGCAACAAAGCCAGGTTCAGCAGGAGAACCAGTGTTTCTGTACACAGTGAATGGTGGTAACTCGGAACAATGACCCTTCAGTTTCCCCCACCCCCTGCCCCCTGCCATTGACTGCAGCTACTGGCAGAATGAGGTGTATTTTCCCTTGTTCCCTGGCACCCTCTGGGGGGATGCTTCTAGACACAACAACCTACAGAGACCTACATCTTGGGCTGAACTTTGCACCACTGAGCAGCAACTCACTCAGTCTCCTTAAGAGCCAGTTCCCACATCAGCAAAACAAGGCAATGATCCCCTTCCTGCCTGCCTCCCAGGTTCAAATGGGATTAGGCAGGCAGAAGAAGTCCATAAACAGATTTGAGGAATTGTCACCATTTTTGGGTGGGAATCATGTCAAAGTCATAAGAAGGAAAAGAATCTAGAGGCTCTGCCTCCTCTCATTTATTGGGAATCACAGAGATCCCATTAGTCCACCAAGATGCCTCCACTTCAGGTGAATGGCTGGGCTTAGCCATGGAATGCAGAGGGAAGGGGGACAGCCGTGAGTGGGGGAGGAGTCTGGAAAACTCCATCAGAAGGGGAGGCGGTCACTTCCACGGACAGTGGTCGAGTCCTTCCTCCTTGGCCTCTCTCTCCCAGGACTGTGTCTGGCTGTCCAAACAGGAAGAGTTCGATGGTGCGCCACATCCCAACCCGAGGTAGCAAAATGCTTCAAATTCCAAAGGAATTTGAGAAAAGTGAATGGCCCTCCTATTTCCTGCATAAGGAAAGACTCCTCCCTTGGATGTATCCAGGCCATTTCGGTAAGTCAATGGCATGTGTTGGTGGGACCAAACTGAATGGGAGGGAAAGGAATGGAATGGCTTGACTTCCCAGGCGGTTGGGAGCAGTCCTCTCTCATAGGAAACAGTGCTATTTTGAGAGCAGAAAGAAACGAGCTTAAGAGTCTGTGTGTGGGGAAACTGGGGCCTCGACATATATTGTTCATAACAACTATTCAATACTGAAATCTAAGCAATCATATTTGACAAATATGTGACATGGGCCACAGTCAAGGTTGCTCTGAAAGGCGAAACCTCCAGAAGAATCATAGCTCTAAGCCCTGTGGGGAATAAGTTCATGCCAGTCACAGCTGTCACGCCATGTGGCAGTGGCAGGACCTGCCTGGGCACCGGGCAGCAGACAGACTTTTGTTCAGGACACTTCAGAGACAGAGAAAAGGGGATCGTGACTTGTACATGATTTCCGATTCCTTTGTTTTGTGGAGATATAAGATCTACGGAAATAATTCATTCACAAATATGTTCTGTGTACCTGCCATGCACGTGCCAAGGTTGTGTGTACCGGATTCCAGCACAGAGTGGGTGATTTAATATAAAAGCTTCTAAGGCAAGCTTGAAGGATTATTTTGCAACGTGATAAGAGTTATTAGGAAAGTACTTAGGGAAAAAATCTAGTCTGATCAATGGTTTAGGCTATTGTTTTACAACGGCTTGGCGCCAGTATCTCTTGCATGTTTAAAATACAGATTCCTAAGCCTTATGATAACCTACTCATTCTGAATATACAGGAAGCCACAAATCTGCCTTTTAAATGAGATCCCTATTTGAATCAATACTGTATCCATTTGCCCAAATAAAGTTGAGATAGATAAATGGTAAAATAAAACTTGTGTTATCGAAAAAACGAGGGGACAGGCTAACTAGCAGAACTGTAGAGGAACAGGAATCTCTCAGCTTTAAGCCATGAACTAAATCATGAAACTAACTGACATTTTAAAATACAGAAACTGTAATTCATAGCCAAATAGAAATATTTAAATAAAAAATTTATAAAGCACCAGAATGCATGAATATGCACCAGCTCCTACAGTGATTATTATCATACTTGCACTTTATAAAGCACTAATTCAAACTGGAAAAATGTAGAATCACATAAGAAAAATGATGTGAACAGGGTATTAGTAAAGAGATTCATAATAATAAAAATACTTGTGAAATGTTCCCCTTAACAATCAGACCTGAGTTATTTGTTAGTACTCAGATTTTCTACAGTAATAACAGTTATTATAATAGAATGACAGTCAGTCCTGCTGGTGAACTCTATAGTGAAATGGTCCTCATGGTCCGGGCCATTCTAAATTGGCGCTATGAATCTTCTGGAAGGCAGAACAGGAATAGCAGCCATAAAGAGAAAGCCATAAAGAGAGACAAGGATGTCTCTAGGGTTCCCGGGGGCGGGAGGCCATCCCACGGACTCAGATGGCCCAAAGAAAATACGCTGAGGGCAAAGACACCCAGAAAAGCAGAATCTTAACAGCCCAAAGTTAGAAATAACCCGTGCTGACCATTGGGGAATTTATTTAATACATTATGGAACATCTACATTATAATAAAACACTATGCAGTCAATGAAATCAGCGAAGGCTCTGCAGAAGTAAGAAACTGTAGTTTTAGAGGCAGTTTCACAGACTGTGCTGTGGACAGCAGTCCACAGACTGTGATCCCAACCACTCTGCAAACCTAAGAAACACACAGGCACGTGGAGCGCAATATCCCAAAGTGGAAGAACATGGTTTCTTGTGATAATTTAAAAACCTCTTAGTAGATATATTTTCTAGTCAATGAAAAAGAACTCAAAAGAAATGAATGTGGAGCAAAAATGGGGGGAAAGCATCTAGAACGAACAACTTTAAATGCAGACGTGACCCCCAAAGCACAGGAAAAAGAGGGCCGGTGCCCAGCCCGGGAGCGAAAGGGCCGGGGCCTGTGGTCCCCACGCCTGTCACAGGACGTGAGCGGACACGACGGAAAGCCGACCCCCTCGAAGACCCTTCCAACGACGACGGAGACTTTCTGGCGTCCCGAAATCCCCCTTACCCGGGTTTGGGTGAGTTTCCTCTTGAAGCCAGGCTGGCCTCCTTTCTTCTCAGGGAAACAAGGCCGACGCGGTGACCCTTGACGGCGGTTTGGTGTTCGAGGCAGGACTGGGCCCCTACAAACTGCGGCCCGTGGTGGCGGAAGTCTACGGGACGGAAGCGCGTGAGTTCTGCCTGGGGACCCAGAGGCTGCGGTGGCCGCGGCCTGCCGGGCTCTGTGGGGTGGCAGCGGATGGCCGCGTGGAGGTGGGGGCCCGGTCACATGCCACACGCGGGCGGCGGGGTCCCGGGCTCTCGGGGCTGGGGCAGGCCGCGTCTCCCGACGCTGACCCAGAGAGGGGTGTGCGCATGCTCGCTGGGGAACAGAGCAGGCTCCGCTCGGGGTGGCGCTGCGGCACGTGGGTTCCCCCTTCCGGCTGGAGGTTTCTCGGGGGGGCAGGGGGGTTGTTTTTCTCCCTCAGGTCCAGGCCAAGAGCTTTCATTCCTCTCTGTCCCTTTGCAGAGCCACGGACCCACTATTATGCTGTGGCAGTGGTGAAGAAAGGCAGCGGCTTTCAGCTGAACCAGCTCCGAGGTCTCAAGTCCTGCCACACAGGTCTTGGCAGGACCGCAGGGTGGAATGTCCCTATAGGGACACTTCGTCCGTTCTTGGACTGGGCAGGGCCACCTGAGCCCCTTCAGGCAGGTAAGATGGCCGGGGGATAGATCTCGGGAGGGGTCTCTGCTCCAGCTGCAGGCACAGGCCGCACAGGTCACCTAGGTGAACGTTCGGGATGAATTCAAGGAGGGTGGGGGGATGAGGTTAGCCAGCTCCACCCATGTACCAGCAGGGGCAGGGTCCCTTACACCTGCAGCCCTTAGGAGGTGGCAGCTGAGTCTCCCTCAGCAAAGGTGCATGTCTCTGAGCTCCCAGCCGCATGACAGAGGCTGTCCCGCAGGGGTGGGGGACAGGGCTCTCTGTCCTGGGGAGCACCCGCTGGGAAGCACCAATTGTGTGGCCAGGGCTGGCTCATGCTCTGTGCTCCATGGCTCTGTGTTCAACAGCTGTGGCCAGGTTCTTCTCAGCCAGCTGCGTTCCTGGTGCAGACGGGAGACAGTTCCCCAACCTGTGTAGCCTGTGTGCGGGGACAGGGGAAAACAAATGTGCCTCCTCCGCCCAGGAGCCATACTTTGGCTACTCCGGTGCCTTCAAGTGAGTGATACTGTCGCCTTCTCGGTGGCCACCTTGGCTGTGGCCCCTTCTGTCTCCCCAGAGAACCCTGAATCTGATTTTGCTCTTCTGTCACCCTGGGTTCCTCCTGCTCATTTCTGCCTCCTCCCTAATCACAGTGGGACAGAAGGAATCTTGTCATGAGACCCCCAGTCCTGGCTCCAGGCTGGGCAGGGCAGCTGCAGTGTCCAGGCTGATGTCATTCTGCCCCATCTGGGCTTCTCCCCAGAGCTCAAGGACGGTGAGCCCTGGCTGACCGTGGTCTCTGTCCCTCTGCCGAGGATGCACTCCCCTTTTCCTGTTCCGCTTGCTGGGGCTGGGGCGTCTTTGCAGAAGGGGGCCTCCCTGCTTCCCCACTAGCCAGGGAACGTTTACACACTCGGTTCTGAGGAAAACAGCCACATGGCCAGGGATACCAAGCCTTTACCTCCTTGTGTGGAGGCTTCAAAACTCTGTTTTCATAGTGGGTACATGTGGTGTTTGTTTTTCCATTCTTGAGATACTTCACTTAAGAGGATAATCTCTAGTTCCATCCAGATTGTTGCAAAAGGTGTTAATTCATCTTAACAGAGGGAAGTAAAACTCAGTGGAAATCGAGGAGGGGAAGAAGGGGGGAGGGGAGGGGAGGGGAGGGGAGGGACAAAAGCTACCTAACGGGTACAGTGAACACTACTTGGGTGACAGTCACACCTGTAGCCGGGACTCAAGCATTACAAAAGCGATCTGTATAACCTAAAACATTCGTACCCTCTTAATACTTTGAAAGTAAGGGGGAAAAAAAAACACCTCTCTTTTACATACAAAAAAAAAGTTTTCTTTCTCTCCTTTGGCCCTCTGAGCAGAAGGTGGGGGCCTCTGGCCAGCACCTGAGCCCTTTTTTCAGAATCTACCTGGAGGGGTCCTGCCGCCTTCCCAGTCAAGAAGCCCCAGAGCCTCAGAGCCCTGCCCTCTGGGAGTTCAGATGCCCGCAGGAGCGAGTGTCAGGGCCCCCACAGGGGGGCCAGGGCCTCTGTTCCACGGGAAGGGGTTGGGGGCAGGGCCACCTGCGCTCACTCTCTGCTGCTTTCTCATTTCAGGTGTCTGAAAGACGGGGCTGGAGACGTGGCTTTCATCAGGGAGAGCACCGTGTTTGGTAAGAGCTGGGGGAGGAGCCATGGGCACACCCCTTTTATCTCGGTTCATCAGGACTCTGACTGTTGAGCTAAGTAGGTTCCTCAGTTCCCTGCAGGGCCCAGCTCTTATTTTATGTTCTTTCACATCTTAAATGATAAGTTTTCTTTAAATCCCCCATGCCCACTGCCTTTCCCTTTGCCCTGACAGACACCCACGCCCAGGTGCTCACAGCCTGTCTTCTGGGATGCGTGTGGTCTGCAGAGTGGGCAGCGCTGGCCTGTGTTTCTGGGGTCTAAGTTCACAGAGGTTGGACTGAGCTTTCGAATCCAGGCTGCTCCTACGGTTTTCCACTCGGCATTTAGTTTTAGAGATTAGAGTTGGTATTGTTGTGTTCACGTCTAGTTTGTGGTCCTAACAGCTGAGGAACGTTTCACTGAACGCGCCTGCCACCTGTGACTTCTCTGTCACTGTAGTGAGGGACAGCCAGGTTGTGCTCTCCTTCCCTCGACCACCCACAGCTACGTGACTGACACCCTCACCTGTGTTCCTTTACTGTCCTTCTGGACCATGTCCCTCAGGGCGCTGCACTAAAGCACAACTGATGGGTGTGTGTAGTCTGGACACATTGCACCCAGGATCAGTGGAGTCAAGCCCACCCTATTCCATGCACGACCACTAGACACAGGCTACCATATTCCACCCAGCACCCCCAGAGACAGGCCCCACCACATTCAACCAAGGGTGACCAGGGACAGCCCCACCACATTCACCCAGGACCGCTGAGATAGGCCCACCACAACCACCAGGGACCACCAGAAAGAGGCCCCCACGTCACCCAAGACTATTAGGCCCCTGTCTGGAATGACAGTCTGCAAGTTCTTATGTCCCTACAATTTCAGTGTGGAGTATTTTTGACTTTCGTTTTTTTTTTTTTTGTTGTTCAAATGATGGCTGTAATGCAATAGATATTTCATTGTTGGTTTAATTTTTATTTCTCTGACATCTAGTGAGTTAGATCATCTCAATATATTTACTAGGAACTTAGGCTTCCTTTTCTTATTTTGTAACATTTGACTATTTTTGTTAGGTGTCATGCTTTGTTTCTGCAAGGTTTCGATTCAAGGAGAGGTGTTCCTTCTATCTAGGTATCAAACTGTTGTGTGTTTTAGATTTTAGTAAGATCTTTTCTCAGTCAAAAATCTGACAATATCACCCTCTGTCGATCAGAAAACTTTAATACTGATAGGGTCCAGTCCATCCATTTTGCCCTGTTGGTTTGAGTTTTGGGAGTCTTTTAAGGATGCCCTTCCTCACACCAAAATCATCATGATTTCCTTCAACAAGGTTTGAAGACCCTCTCCTCCTTGCACATTTATCTATATGTACTCTACCTAGGAAATCAGGTATGGCTTTGGCTTTAGCATTTTGACCCTGTTTTAGTGAGGCAATTTTCTCTAGAAAGACAATTATAAAAAATTCCATCTTTTTTTCTAGTGATACATGAAGCCAGTTCTACACCAAATTTGTATATATCCAAGTGGATCAGTTTTTGAGCTATTTTGTTCCATGGGCATATTTGTATTTTTCTGCTTTTATTACCCTGGCTTATAGTGGGTCTTACTATCTGGTAGGGAGAGACAGAGAGAGAGAGAGAGAGACCCTCTTCTTCCCTCTCACTTTGCTATTTTCAAATATTCTTAGTGAAAATTTCAGAATTATGTTGTTGATTTTTTAAAAAATCATAGTACAGGCCGGGCGCGGTAGCTCACGCCTGTAATCCTAGCTCTCTGGGAGGCCGAGACGGGCGGATTGCTCAAGGTCAGGAGTTCGAAACCAGCCTGAGCCAAGGCGAGACTCGTCTCTACTATAAATAGAAAGAAATTAATTGGCCAACTAATTATATATAGAAAAAATTAGCCGGGATGGTGGCGCATGCCTGTAGTCCCAGCTACTCGGGAGGCTGAGGCAGGAGGATTGCTTGAGCCCAGGAGTTTGGGTTGCTGTGAGCTAGGCTGACCGCCATGGCACTCACGTCAGCCTGGGCAACAAGTGAGACTCTGGTCTCAAAAAAAAAAAAAAAAAAAAAAAATCATAGTACAATTTTATTGGAATTGTATTGAATTTAAATTGACCCACAATTTAAATTGACTTCTATTTTAGAATTCATGAGAATGCGAATCTCCCCATTTGATCGCATCTTTTTATAGTCTTTGATAGAACTTAATATTTTTTTTCTTTAGGAGTCTCATGCCTCTTTGTGTGAGGCTAATTAATGGCTATTTAATGGTTTTAGTTGCTATTGTAAGATCTATTTTCTATATTGTTTTCTGTTTGGCTATTGCTAATGATGATAACACTTGATTTTTGTAGGTTGACTTGTAACTTTTTACCCTTCTGAACTCTCTTGTTAGTTTATAGTAATTTCTGTTGGTTTTGTTGGCTTTTCTCTATAGATGGATTATATCATCTTTTTGTCTTTTCCTCCAGTGTTATGTCTTATTTCTTTTGTAAATTGTGTAATCCAGATATCTAGTCTTGTGTTGTAATGTGATAATGGGCATCAAAGGCCTTGTTCTGAGTTTGCGTGAATGTCCAAATATTTAATATTTAATATGATTTTGGCATAGATATTATGACTAATGGCACTTATTGAGTTCCATAACTTTACCAATCCTATATTACTATTTTTCTGAAACTAAAAAAAGTCACAAATAAATGTTGAGCAGTAAATGTTTTTTCTGCACCTATTAAGATTACGCATGATTTC